TGTGGTTCTTACTCCTTCTACAGACCAGATGGACAAGAAGGTCAGCCTTGATAAGTAATGATAAAAGCCCTGAGATCTAGGAAGAAGGGAAAGTAGAGAAGGATGGCCCAAGGGTTTGGGCCCCAGCACCCAAGTGGGAGACCTAGAGGAAGCTCCTGGCTCCTGGTTCCTGTCTTTGAAGCAGCTCAGTTCTGCCCATTGCAGCCATTTGTAGAGTGAACCAGCTGATGCAAGAGCTGTCTCTCTCTCTCTCTCTCTCTCTCTCTCTCTTTCTGCCTGTCCTTTTTCTGTAAGTCTGTCTTTCAGGTTAAAAAATAGTAATAAAAAGGATGACAACAGAGTTGAGAAGATTCAGTGTTAAAAGCATAGCAGGGCCCGGCGTGATGGCGCAATGGTTAAGGTCCTCACCTTGCACGCCTGGGATCCCATATGGGCACCGGTTCTAGTCCCGGCAGCCCCGCTTCCCATCCAGCTCCCTGCCTGTGGCCTGGGAAAGCAGTCGAGAACGGCCCAAAGCTTTGGGACCCTGCACCCACGTGGGAGACCCAGAAGAGGCTCCTGGCTTCGGACCGGCATAGCATTGGCCGTTGTGCTCACTTGGGGAGTGAATCATCGGATGGAAGATCTTCCTCTCTGTCTCTCCTCTCTGTGTATCCGTCTTTCCAATAAAAAAATAATAAAAATAAATCATAAAAAAAAAGCATAGCACCCATTGTTGCTATTGTTGAATCTCGAGTCCAGTTCACTATAGGAATTTATTCATCTTTGAATTCCTAAGCTTGCACTTGTTATACGAGCCCCTTCAGGATTCACAGAAGCAATGAAAGGCTTGTTGTGACCCTGAAGTCCTGGTATCCTTTTTGTCTTATTGTGTTTTGGTCCACACGAAACAACCTCAAAATGTGACTGAAGTCAGTTGAGGCATGTCATAGCCATTAAGGAACCAGACATAAACACCTCGACAAATAGGCCTTCTATTAAAAAATTAATCGTGCATCTTACCTATAAAGGTAACATAGCAATGTCATTAGGTAATTTTAAATAATAGCTTTATTGTCATGCCATAAAATGCATCCTTTACCAATATACTATTCAGTGGCTTTAAATCAGCAGGTTGTACAGCTGCCAACCCCTCCCACTCCCTGTAGAGGAAGCACCATGCCCATAAGGGCTGACTTAGCTCTTCTCCCCTCTCATTCCCTTCCTTCCTAATTCACTGCAGTTCTAAAGAAGTCTTTTTTTAAAGATTTATTTATATAGGGGGCTGACACAATGGCTCAACTGGCTAATCTACCAACTCCAAGAGCCAGCATCCCTTTATGGATGCCTGTCCTGGCTGCTCCACTAACAATTCAGCTCCCTGCTTGTGACCCGGGAATTGGGACCTTGCACTCACATGGGAGACCCAGAAGAAGCTCAGCTCTGGCCATTGTGGTCATCTGGGGAGTGAATCAGCAGATGGAAGATTTTTCTCTGTGTTTCTCCTCTTTACAAATCTGCCTTTTCTATGAAAGATTTATTTACTTAATTTACTTTAAAGGCCAGAATGACAGAGAGAAGAGTACACTCATGAGCTCATGTGAGCTTCTATCTGCTGGCTCATTCCCCAAATGGCTACAATGCAAGCCATTTAAGTGGTAGGTAGCCCAAGCATTTGGGCCACCATCTGCTACTTTCCCAGGAGCTGAACTGGAAGTGGAGCAGCCAGAACCTGACTCAGAACTACAATATGGGCTGCCAACTCTGCTAGCGGTAGCTTCAGTCAATAGTGCCATAACACTGGCCAGTCTGGGTGGATTTCACTCCATTTTCTGTCTCTGTGGATTTCATGTTAATGGAGTAACTGAGTGTGTGGTCTTTGTGTTTGACTTCCTCCATGTTGCCAACACTTCCAAGGCTCCTCCATGATACAGCATAGATTGTACAGTCATGTGCCTCATAACCACATCTCATCCAACTGACCCCCTGTTCCAATCTATTGCCAGAACATCATGGAAATTATTACCTGGTAAGATCACGGCCATCATGATCTTCAATGGCAAAATTACCAAATGAACTCAACATAACCCCATCCTTTAGGGATGTATGACTCCACTTCTTTCTATGCTGGACAGAATTCCATTGTACAGATAGAACACAGTTATCCATTCATTAGTTGGTGGGCCCTTTGGCTGTTGTGAATAATGCTGCTACGAATGTTCACAGGCATGTTTTTTGCATGGGCAAATATTTCCAATTCTTGTGAGCGGGCACCTAGACCTAGAATTGTTACACCTTATGTCTCTAGCCTTGACCCCTCCTCAAGGTTCTGTCAAACTGTTTTTCTAAGAGTCTGAGTGATTTTATTCCCACTGGTAACCAATAATAGTCCTGATTTCTCTGTATCTTTACCAACATTTATTATTATCCATCTTTCGATTATAGATATACCAGTGGGTATTAAATGAGTTTATAAATAGAAACTTACACAATAGTTTCTTTTCATATTCTACAAGTCAAAATATAATTGGCATTTAGTAGATAATAAATAATTGCTAAATAGTTTCATCAAACCAATATGACTATTTTTATTTCAAATTAATTCTTGTCTAATATGTCTAAATAATTCAAATTTCACACATTTGTAGCTGTGTTGGAAAATAATTTTCTTTTTCTCTTTTTAAAAGAAAATTTTATTTTTCATGATGCAGTTTCTTAGACCCAGAGATTTCCCCTTCTATACTCCCTATCCCCTCTCCCACTGTTTTCCCCAATATTATTACAATAGTATAGTCCTTCAACATAATTTTTCTTTCTTTTCAGCTAACACTAAGTTCTTAAATAACCTTATGCTTCACAGAGCCTGTCAATGGCATTGTATTGGCCATCTAATTGTTTCCCAGGCAAGTGCAGGATAATATATTGAACAACTGTATAATGACCTGGTTCTCAACTTTTCAGTACCAAGACTATGTGACTTAGCAAGCAATAGGAAGGCAACGCTTATTTGGCAACTTATTTCCCACGTGGCAACATGATGGATTGATAGAAGACAGAAAAATACCACAACTCAAGTTCTCCAGAAAATCAAAATTGACAAGATGTGTGTATTATACATGCCAGCTGTCTGTGAGTTCCATATCTGTGTATCCATCAACTGCTGATGGGAAATACTAGGGAAAAAATGCATCTGTACTAAACATGTGCAGACTTTTTCCTTGTCATCATTCCTTAACAATATAGTATAAAAACTATTTATAGAATTTATATTACACTGGTTATTTTAACCTAGCTAGAAGCAATTCAAAGTATACAGCAGGATATGTATAGTTTAGATGTAAATACTACCTCAGTTAATCTCAGATACCTAAGGATCAATGAATGTTGGTGTGTACGGAGAGTCCTGGAACCAATTCCTTATGGATGCCCAGGGTGAAGACGGTAGATATGAAGAATTTCTTACAAGGTATTGGCTCATGGGGTAATGGTGGCTTAGAGGATGGCAAATCCAACCTGCAATATGGACACGAAGACTGGAGACCAACAAGACCACGACACAGACACAGTCTGGTGGCTCGTGGCTGTGGATCCCCTCTTGCATGGGAAGGCCTATGTTTTGTTTTATTCAAATCTTCAATGGATTTGGCTAAATCCCAGAGTTCATAGCTATATTGCTAATTTCATCCATAACACCTTCCAAGTTGACACATAAAATTAATCATTGCAGTAGCTGGATGGGTTCCAGAGTCCTGGTGGGGTTTCTAGTGTTGCAGATGGCTCAGTTGCAGGGAATCTGGCATATTTTTGAACCATGACTTCTAAGCTTCAGAGCTTTAATAAAAGCAAAATAGAATGAGATAAGAAGAGTAAAATTAACTAAGGTGAAGAATGTGGGTTCCATGAGCACCTTCAGGCTGCAGGCAAGCAGGATCTTGATGTATCCTGATGTACATTCCCAGCTTCTTCACAAGACCATCATTTCCCCCACTGATCTCTGCCTGAAATCTGCATGTCATTCAAGCTAAGGACCATTGCTGGAACCCCACTGTGGCTCTGGGGCTCATCAGTTAACTAATCAACAAATCTGGGCCCTTATTTTCGTTAAGTCTTCGTATTGTGTATGTCCTTGTGTTGAGACCTTTAGTGCACAGCCTTAATTACATCTAGCTAGGAAGTGTTCAACATGCCAGATCAAGGAGAATTAAAAACAATCTTTGCTTAATGTGTCAGTTAGGAATTCCTGGGTGCTTCATTGTGGCAAGGGGAGAGAACATGCCTTCTAGAAAGATCTCTTTATTTGGGGAAGAACCACCAGAAAAGCACTGGTAGAAGGAAGCAGGTACCCATTCTCAGAGTAGGGGAGTGTGAGGGTCAGCCTCCCCTTTTCTTCCTCTGGTGAGGCAAAGTTCTCACCACTCCTCTCACCCTCCTATCTGCTTTAGAGCTGGAGTCCCCTTCTAAGGGGGTAGCAGCATAAGGTCTAAAGAGGGAAGAGAAGGAAAGTTCTAGACCAAACAGAGCTTTATGCCCAGTCATTTGCTGCCCAGTGCTGCTGCCAGACAGCCTTCACCTAACATCTCCAGCCTGTTTGCCAGCCCATCTCCATAGGATCTCTTCTCCCACTCCCTTGCTGGAAAGCTTTTATTCCTGCTTCTTATACTACCCCCTGCCCCCACAACCCACCCTGACACACATACACAGTTGTTTGGTTTTCTGTGTAGGTACTACACAATTTAGCACTGTAATGCAGCCATTCCTGTGTTTTCTTTTAATGCAAGGACCCCCTTATTGTGGATAAGCTTGTGGATTCAGCTTGTAGTTCCTTCAGCTGAAAGGTGAGTGGCTGTGTCCAGGGAGGTCCTTCTTGCCAGTGGGGCCTCCAGAGGTGGTGTGGGGCCTCACAGGGTGAGACAGAGCATCCTAGAGCAGCTGACTAGCCTTCTTGGAAAGCACAGTCCCCCTGGGTGAGAGTCACACCCACATGTCCTCATTTCATTTTAGTCACTTCCAAAAGGACTCACCTTCAGGTAGCATCACTGGATACAGTTTCCACCTCGTCATACAAGGGATTCAGTTCCATCATGAGTTTCCACAAGGCCTTTTCACCAACGACTGGTGGAATTCCAGCAGTGAATCCCACAGAGGTCTCATCACAGCCTGAAGAAAGTGGTGTGGATTAGGCAGGAAGTCAATGAGAGACAAGTAGCTGAGGCCCGCCAGCACATAAACCACATGTACCACCCAATCCCATCACTTCCCGTTTCAACTCAACATGGCTGCAGACTAAGTACATCTACTCTCAGGTGGCTAAACTTAACTTTCCATCAGGCACCAGGAGTCCTAAAACAGCACATAAGTTCCAGGCCTGCTCAAACCCTGCCCCCTTGGACTCCTCAGTCTGGCCCTGCCCTGAAAAAGGACAGCCCAGCCTGCAGAGTTTTCCCTCCCCAGGCTGCCCTGAGTTGGGTCTAAGTGTGTGCTACCCCTTTGCCTACCTTTATTTCTTTTCTCCTTTCTCCCTAAAGCTTTGGTTTATTTAATTGAAAGACAGAGTTACAAAGAGAGAGGGAAAACTGGGAGAGAGCTCTGCCTTTTGCTGGCTCATTCTCTGAATGACCCCAAACTGGTACAGGCTGAATCCAGGAGCCTGGGGCTTCTTCTAGGTCTCCAAGGCGGGTGCAGGGACATGTTCTGCTGCTTTCCCTTGGGTTGCATTGGCAGGAAACTGGATCACAGTGGAGAAAATTGGTTTCAAACAGGCAGTAGTTTTACCCACTACACCACAAAGGTAGCCCCAGGAGTTGTTTTAAGTATCATGAAATAGTACTAGCATGTATTCCAGCACTTAAAGGCTTTCTTGAGTAGCAATCTTGCGTCAACTCCTAAGCATTTCCCCACAAATGCCAGCTACATCATCAGGCATGGAGCAGAATTCTTGGCCTTGGGCACTGCTGCTCTCCTGGATAAAACAAAGCAGCTCAGGGCTGGCACTCTGGCATAGTGGCTAAAGCCTCTTGGCTATGCTGACACCCCATTATGGGTGCCAGTTCAAGTCCTGGCTGCTCCACTTCTGATTCAGCTCCCAGCTAATGTGTCTGGGAAAGCAGCAGGGATGACCCAATTGTTTGGCCTCTGTACCCACGTGTGAAACCTGGCTCCTGGCTTCCACCTGCCCCAGCTTGGGTCATTCAGGGAGTGAACCAGCAGATGGCAGATCTCTCTGTCTCTTTGTTCTCCCTCTCTCTTTTTGACCCTGCCTTTCACATAAACAGGCTAAATCTTTAGGAAGGAAGGAATGCAAAGAAAGCAAAAGATAGTACACACTCAGGCCCGAGTCATGGCAGCCTAGTGCTTGGGCCCTTGGGCCAAAGTGAGAGAACTGAGAAAAGTGCCTAGCTCCAGGCTTCAGACCACCTGGTGCTGACCACTGCAGTCATTTGGGGAATGAGCCAGCAGATGGAAGATTTCTCTCTGTTTCTCCCACACTCTCTAGCTGTCTTTCAAATTAATCAATCAATAAATACTTGCTTAAATAAGGAGCCTGACTAGACCATTTCAGTGTGGAGTTCAGTGAGGATGACATGCAGTTTGAGATTAAGACTGGTTGGGAATTAGGAGTTCTTGGTACCACTTTGTCATTTCTTTGCCGTGAACACTTCTTGAAGGGAAGGCTGGTACAGCACCTTCCCAGCTGGCCCACCCAGTCAGGGCGAGTCCCGTCATTAAAGCCGTGAAAATGCTTCTTAAAGTCCGTGAAGCTATGTAAATGTGTTATCAGCACTTTCAGACACCCATTAATAGGATGCTCTTCAATCTTTTATTTTACTTGGCATTATTCTCTGGCCAGGCTACAACTGGGACTCTTCCTCCATCTTCTGTGAGGTCTCTAAGCGGCACATGGTTTTCAAGTGAGTTATTCAATCAACCCTTTCAGTGGTAATGACAAAGTCCCTCTGGACCATCTGCCTTCAAAGACATTACATCTGCGGGGCTGCCCTGACTCCCTGCTCATCCCACAAACAGATCAAGTGGCCTCTGGGGTAAAGCCTGATTAATGGCAAAATGAATTAGTAACAAGTTGGGAAAAAAGAGACAAATGGTTACCCAACTCACAGCTCACCTTCCTTTACACCATGATGGGCCAGTAATGCTTCTAAATGGGCTTTCTCCAGAAGTGGGGAGGAGGCGCTGGAAGTGTGGAGGATGCTATTTAAAAGACCCCAGGGGGGAATTACTTGATAAAAGATCTTTCCATTTTCCTAAGTGACTCCCCTGATAAAATCACTTTCTCTAAATTTGAATTTTTATAATCCAGTGTTTAAATTATGATGGGAATAGCTTCTAGAATGATAACAGTAGGGGCAGCCTTGTGGCAAAGGTAGTTAAGCGGCTGCCTGCCTGCAATGCTGACATTGCATATCCTGGCTGTTCCACTTCCACCCCAGCTCCTTGCTAGAATGCCTGGGAAAGCAGTGAAGGATGGCCAAAATCATTGAACCTTTCCATCCATTTGAGAGACCTGGAAGAGGCTCGTGGCTTTGGCCTGGCTCAGCCCCAGTCATTGCAGCCATTTGTGGAGTGAGACAGCACGTGGCAAATTTTTCTCTCTCTCTGTAACTCTGCCTTTTAAACAAATTAATCATTTTTTAAAATAAGTATGATAATCATTAACAAAGACCCAATGATTAAACAGTACCTTTGTCCTTTGCTGATAGCACTACCTATGATTGGGTAACACCTCAATATTTTATTTCCTTTTGGTATAGTATATGCATGGAAATTGAATCTGCCCTATACTTCAAATAGTTTCTAGATTATTTACAGTAGTTAATATATATGAGTACTAATGTAATGCACTATGAATATATTATAAATAATCTCAGTTTTCAGGTTTACAGATAGTTGTCAGGCATAGTGTTTAGGGAGTGAAGAACAAATTATGCACGTGTCCATTACAAACACAACTCTTCTGACTGTTGAATCCAAGGACAGAACTAGACATGGAGCTTCAGGTGCACATGGCTGGGAGGGCTTCTGAGCTCTCTCGAGAGATAAGGCTGAAGCAGGTGAGGTTGGGCCAATGTTGCGGTACTACAAGCTAAGCTGCCACTTGTGATGCTAGGTCCAGTCCAGATTCCAGAGTCCCTCCCAGCTGCTCTACTTCTGATACAGCTCCCAGCTAAGGTGCTGAGGCAGTACATGATGGTCCAAGTACTTCAGCCCATGCCATCCATGTGGGAGACCCAGAAGAAGATCCTGGCTTCAACCTGCCCAGCCCTGGCTAAGGTGGCCACTGGGGTGTGAACCTGAGAATACGAGATCTCTGTCTCTCTTCCTGGGCTGCTCTCCCTTTCAAATCAAATCAATCAATCAGTCTTTAAAAACAAATGATGGCTTAATTTCAAGAGCTCAATTCGGGGGTGAAGAAAATATTCCAAATAATTATAATTGTAAGCAAATGGTTTGCCTCTTGAAGTGTGAAACTTCCACTCAGAAAAATGTAGATCATTTTGTGACCAAATTATATTCTAGAAAATACACGCCTGTCTATAAGAACTGTAGGGTGACAGATGGATAGTAAAATGAATAAAAGTAAGTTTAGGGGGCAAGTAAGTGTCCCAGTGGGAAGCACAGTTGGAAAGAACTAAAGGGTCAAGGTCACCCAGCTCCTTTTTGTGGATTTGCACGTCAGTGTGGAGTGGGGAAAGCCTTAGGAATCCTGGCTGAGGCACCTTCCTTTCTTCCTTTCTCCCTTTCTTCCTTTCTTTTTTTCATTTCTTTCTTTTTTTTTCTTTTCTTTTTCTGAAAGATTTATTTATTTTTATTGGAAACACAGGCTTACAGAGAAGGAGACACAAGAGAAAGATCTTGCACCCACTGGTTCACTTCTCAAATGGCCACAATGGTCAGAGCTAGAGCTGATCCAAGGCCAGGAACCAGGAGTCTCTTTCGGGTCTACCACAGAGGTGCAGGGTCCCAAGACTTTGGGCCTTCTCCCACTGCTTTCTCAGGACACAATCAGGGAGTTGGATGGGAAGTGAAGCAGCTGGGACATGAACCAGCACCCATATGGGATGCAAGTGCTTGCAAGGAGAAATTAACCAATTGAACCATTGAGCTGGGTCCAAATACCTTTCTTCTTTCACCTCGAATTTCTCCCTGTGTCATTGTTGGGAGCAAACAGCACTCACCCCAACCAGAAGCTCGCTTTCCAGCTGCCTCTGAAACACACACACACAAACACATCAGCAACAACCATACACATTCACACAGCTGGGACACACAAGAACCCAGGGAGCTTGAACTGAGGCCTGGAGCTCAGCCATGATGGACAGGGAGATCCCTTTGAGGTCCCCCAGGAGGGCCCAACTCTGTCATTTTCCAAAGAGGAAAGTGAGAACCTGAGAGGCTGTGTGACTCACCTGCTACTCAGGTGGGTGAGTCTTGCTTGTCCTGCCACATCCTGATGATGCGCATCAACTGGGATGCTTACTCCTTAGCATTATTTCTGTCTCCAAGATCAGGACCCAGCAGGTGCTGTGTGTGTTCATTAGCTGAGTAATGGTTGCCACCACCTACCTTTGAAGCTGCTGGGTAGGGTAGGGGATAACCCTACCTTCCCTCGCCCTCCCCCACCCCAGCGAATGAAACTGTTGCCTGTCTGCAGTCTGTTTACTTTATGGTTGCAGGGATCGCTCCTGAGTCTTCTCACATGTCTACCTGCTTACCAACCTCAGAAAACAGGAGGACTGGGGCCTCTGCTTATTAAAAGCAAACAAACCTATAATTAAACATCAACACGGCAGTGCTGCTTTGAAACAACTGACTCACCACCTTCTGGCTCAGAGGTCTAAACTCAAACCCTGTGACCCCTAAACAAACCTTCCTCACTAGTTACGAGAGAGCCCGCTGCAGCAAGGTCTGGTAGCCATGTTATCTAATCCTTGAGACTGGCAAATGATCATGGTATGAGTATTTTTTATTTCAGCAATGATGGTGTGTCTCACTTAAGTAATTTGCTGACAAATACAACTGGAACCTGGAAATGCCCAAGTTTGAACTTGGGTTTCCAGAACCCACAGCCATTGTACCACAGCACACTACATTTAAACACAGGTCTCCCATGTTCTATTTCTGTTTCAAAGGTTACCTTAAGA